ATTCCATGTCACAAATTCTGGGCATCTCTGCTCGTTCTAGAACAAAAACTCCATGAGTGGCACCAACAGAGAGAGGGGAGGGGTGTGCTAAGGCAGTAAAACCTGACTTATCAAACACCACGTTCTCTTGAGCAGGAACACTGTAGAGCTCAATATCATCAGCACAGGTAACCAGCATTCCCGGCTTCATGTGTGAGGGGAAATCCACATACATTGCAAGCTTGAGCTCCAGCATTTGATATAAAGGGTTTCCCAGGGGCAAAGCTGTGAGTAATTTACCCAGGGCACTGGCATTGGGCAAACGCTGACTGAATCCTCCTGCATATGTAACAAAATGCATAGATAAATAAGTACATTTGAATAAAAGTGCACAAATCAAAATATCCAAGATTTCTATTTCAAATAAATGCTGTCCTTTGTAATTTCTATTCATCATAGAATCCCGAAAAGAAAGGTTTCCACAAAAATATTAAGCAGCATAACTGTCTTCATACATTCATAATTAGTAAAAAAAAAATTGTATCTTGAGCACCAAATCAGCATATTATAATGATTTCTGAAGAATCATGTGACACTGAAGACTGGAGTGATTATGCTGAAAATTTATCTTTGACATCACAGGAATAAATTACATTTACATTATATTCTAAAATATATCCAAACAAAAAATAATTATTTTGAAATGTAATAATGTGTCACTGTCCCCCCCCCGATCAAATAAATGCAGCCTTGGCAAGCATAAGAGATTTTTTTTCAAAAATATGTAAAAATCTTACCGACCCCTAGGGCTGGACAATAATTCAATATCAATATGTATCGCAATATAAATGTTTTCAATAACGGTGATATGATTTTTTTAAACACATTTCCGATATTTCGATATCCATTACCAGTGTTTCCCATACACTGATTTATTTGTGGCGTTTGATTTCGTTGAATAAACATGAGCACTGCATGTTTCAAAATCATAACACGGCGCGGGTGTTTTATATGAATGTATCTCTGAAGGAAACCGACTGTCTTCAGAAAAGTTTCGATGGCATTTTAATTTGATCTGATAAAGTAGCATTCGTGAGCGGAGCTGATTTGATTACAGCTGTTACCAGGGAAACCGCTAGTTTTATCTCTCTAAAAGCGCCTCCTGCTGGCAGAGAATGAATTTGCATTTTCAATAATAAGCCAGTCTCCAGCAACATGTTTTTGTTGTTGCTCAATTTTTTTGTTTTCTGCAGCAACTCCGAGCACTTTTCATACTCTTTATACTGGCTAAAGCACATTTGTTTTAATCTATAAGAATAATCATCCTACACTACCAGTCCAGAGTTTTTGAACAGTAAGATTTTTAATGTTTTTATTAAATAATTCTCTTCTGCTCACCAAGCCTGCATTTATTTGATCCAAATTACAGCAAAACAGTATCATTTTGAATTATTTTTACTATTTAAAATAACTGCTTTCTATTTCAAAGCAGTTATTTTACATCTTCAGAAATAATTCTAATATACTGACTTGCTGATTATCACTATTTGAAACGGTTGAGAATATTTTTTTTCAGGATTCTTTGATGAATAGAAAGATCAGCATTTAACTGAAATAAAAAGCTTTTATAACATTACACACTATTCCATTCAAAAGCTTGGAGTCAGTATAATTTATTTATTGGGGGGGGGGGGGGATTATAGAAATTTTATTTAGCGCTGCAATTTTATTTTATTTATAATACTTTCATTTAGCAAGGATGCTTTAAATTGATCAAAAAGATTATAATGTTACAAAAGATTTCTATATCAGATAAATGCTGTTCTTCTGAACTTTTTATTCATCAAAGAAACCTGAAAAAATCTACTCATTTGTTTTCAAAATCATTATAAATGTATTTGAGCAGCAAATCAGCATATTACAGTGATTTCTGAAGGATCATGTGACTGGAGTAATGATGCTAAAAATTAAGCTTTGAAATCACAGGAATAAATCATATTTTCAAATAGAAAAGTTATTTTAAATAGTAAATTTTGCTGTAATTTGGATCAAATAAATGCAGGCTTGGTGAGCAGAAGAGAATTCTTTCAAAAACATTAAAAATCTTACTGTTCAAAAACTCTTGACTGGTAGTGTACGTCAGCCTATAGTTTGATATAAGGTAAACATTCATTTATTTGTGCTGTTTCTTTTTCTTAAATATCCTATAGTTTTATAGGAGGAGGTTTCATAGACTTGGAAAATTCATTTTTCAGAAGTTTGTATGCACAGACATCTGTTGTGGGCGTTCTTGGCAGTTTTTATGAGGCTTCTTTTTTTTTTTTTAATAGTGTTCATATCGATATCGGAATTATATCGTATCGACCAAAATTAAGGAATATATCGTGATATCAATTTTGGCCATATCGTCCAGCCCTACCGACCCCAAACTTTAGAATGGTACATTAAGGCTAATTAACAATCAACAAAATGCATGAATGAGGTTTAATGAATATTATATAGATTAAAATAGTACCTGCATGAATAAGGATGACTTTAAATCCTGACAGTGACTTGCCATATTTATCATGTAGACACTGTAGTGAATGCAAAGTGGATCCACCATTACCTGTATGGTCAGATGAAGAAACAGGTCTTAAAAATTTACATGAAATACAGTTTTTAAAACATATTTTTATATATCTTACCAATCTTGCATCCTGGAGGATCTGCAAAGACATGATAATTGATGCCACGTGGCAGTTCATTCCTCTCCAGTTTCTCAGTGATCTGAACTTCATAAGCAGACTTCTGGTCCTCATCCACTGCAGTAATGACCACAAGATCCCAGAATTCATCAGACTGAACTTCTTTACCTGTGGATGGGAAATGAATATCTGTTTCTCTTGTTATAGTTATAGAAAACCCTCATGAGCAACAAACAATGTCACACAAGTGAATATTCTCAGCAACAAAAAAGTCAATACAAGTCAAACAGTTGTATATTTTAAATAGAAAAGTTGAAAGATTTAAACGTTACCTCTCATTTGTTTGAATTTGTCAAGTTTCTCCTTGGTGGATTTTTGCAGATGGATGTTTAAGCGCTCTGCCATTATGAGAACGAGCAGGTCCTCTATCTGTCTAAATCAAGAAAATCTGACACATTTATTCAACGACAAATATGAATCAACAAAAGGACATCATGTGCGCAACTATGTGCGACAATGATCAGCTATTTGCCGTTTTCAAAAAGTCACTTAAAACCCTTAGATTTCAGAATATGTCCCGTAACTTGTGTTTACATTTGGCACTTCCGGGTTCCAGTCACGTGACAAACAAACTCTGACGTCCGTATTCGATTGCTCGCTCTGCCTCCATCAATTAATTTACGTTAAACTGAATTAATTACTTATAATATTCAACCTCCCGAAAAAAAAAACTATATTCGTTTTATTTGTAATGTGGTGTGAATGGTTTTCAAGAAAATGTTAGGAGAAGCTTCTTGTATTTCCAAACGATGTTGTCATAGCAACTTTTCTCTTGGAATCATTCGGCCAACAAAAGAGAGCCAGGCACAAAACCATGGTAAGAACAAACTCAAGAGCAGATTGAGAATTTGAACAGATTAAATTTAGTGAAACATGCAAATATGTCCACATATGTTTTAGGAATAATACTATATAATTTGGATCAAATAAATGCAGGCTTGGTGAGCAGAAGAGAATTCTTTCAAAAACATTAAAAATCTTACTGTTCAAAAACTCTTGACTGGTAGTGTACGTCAGCCTATAGTTTGATATAAGGTAAACATTCATTTATTTGTGCTGTTTCTTTTTCTTAAATATCCTATAGTTTTATAGGAGGAGGTTTCATAGACTTGGAAAATTCATTTTTCAGAAGTTTGTATGCACAGACATCTGTTGTGGGCGTTCTTGGCAGTTTTTATGAGGCTTCTTTTTTTTTTTTTAATAGTGTTCATATCGATATCGGAATTATATCGTATCGACCAAAATTAAGGAATATATCGTGATATCAATTTTGGCCATATCGTCCAGCCCTACCGACCCCAAACTTTAGAATGGTACATTAAGGCTAATTAACAATCAACAAAATGCATGAATGAGGTTTAATGAATATTATATAGATTAAAATAGTACCTGCATGAATAAGGATGACTTTAAATCCTGACAGTGACTTGCCATATTTATCATGTAGACACTGTAGTGAATGCAAAGTGGATCCACCATTACCTGTATGGTCAGATGAAGAAACAGGTCTTAAAAATTTACATGAAATACAGTTTTTAAAACATATTTTTATATATCTTACCAATCTTGCATCCTGGAGGATCTGCAAAGACATGATAATTGATGCCACGTGGCAGTTCATTCCTCTCCAGTTTCTCAGTGATCTGAACTTCATAAGCAGACTTCTGGTCCTCATCCACTGCAGTAATGACCACAAGATCCCAGAATTCATCAGACTGAACTTCTTTACCTGTGGATGGGAAATGAATATCTGTTTCTCTTGTTATAGTTATAGAAAACCCTCATGAGCAACAAACAATGTCACACAAGTGAATATTCTCAGCAACAAAAAAGTCAATACAAGTCAAACAGTTGTATATTTTAAATAGAAAAGTTGAAAGATTTAAACGTTACCTCTCATTTGTTTGAATTTGTCAAGTTTCTCCTTGGTGGATTTTTGCAGATGGATGTTTAAGCGCTCTGCCATTATGAGAACGAGCAGGTCCTCTATCTGTCTAAATCAAGAAAATCTGACACATTTATTCAACGACAAATATGAATCAACAAAAGGACATCATGTGCGCAACTATGTGCGACAATGATCAGCTATTTGCCGTTTTCAAAAAGTCACTTAAAACCCTTAGATTTCAGAATATGTCCCGTAACTTGTGTTTACATTTGGCACTTCCGGGTTCCAGTCACGTGACAAACAAACTCTGACGTCCGTATTCGATTGCTCGCTCTGCCTCCGTCAATTAATTTACGTTAAACTGAATTAATTACTTATAATATTCAACCTCCCGAAAAAAAAACTATATTCGTTTTATTTGTAATGTGGTGTGAATGGTTTTCAAGAAAATGTTAGGAGAAGCTTCTTGTATTTCCAAACGATGTTGTCATAGCAACTTTTCTCTTGGAATCATTCGGCCAACAAAAGAGAGCCAGGCACAAAACCATGGTAAGAACAAACTCAAGAGCAGATTGAGAATTTGAACAGATTAAATTTAGTGAAACATGCAAATATGTCCACATATGTTTTAGGAATAATACTATAATAGTCATGTAGTGTTGATAATAATTCTGCCTCAGGATGGTTTTGTGTTATGAAAAATGTTTCCTTTCAGAAAATGGAAGAGATACATTTCACAAAGATATAAAAATGGATTCCCTGGAAGGATACTGGGCCTATTTGGTAAACTGCTCTCGGTCTCTGATACTGGATCATGGCTACTGGACATCAGAGGGTGAGAAAGATCTGGAGGACATGTTGATGGTCAGATTGAGCAGTTTGCTTTTAAAGAGTCTGGATCAGATTGGATCTTGCAGAGCACTGCGAATTTGTATCTTGGCTGACAACTTTCTGACCAGGATCGAAGCTCTGATGGAATGTACTCACTTGGTGAAGTTAGATCTGAAAGGAAATCAGGTATTTATTTAATTTGCTTCCCTGAATATTTGATTCACTTTAAGGAGAACAAATCACTAACAATCATCTTTCTGCTCAGATCGTTCAGCTCCCTGATGCTTCATGTTGGAGTCATCTGAAGGAATTGCAACTTCTATATCTACATGACAACAACATGTCAACCTGGAACAATATTAAAGGCCTGTTGGGCTGTTTAAACCTGACTGCTTTAACTCTCTCTGACACCCCGCTCAGTTTAAAGAAGAACTACAGACACTGTCTGGTCAACAACATATGGTCACTGAAGGCCTTGGACAACTTTGTTATCTCTGATGAGGAAATCATTCAAAACTGGTCTCTTCCCTTTCGATTCAAAGCCATGAAACAACACTTTTGTGTCAGTTTGTACCCATCTACAAAGTCGGTTAGTGCTCATTATTTGTCCTGGTCTTCTTTGTTAGTTGTGTTTACTGTTATGTCTAAGTGCAAAAAAACAATCATATTTTGATGTTTTCTTCTTCCTCAGAATTCATTTGAGACCGAGATGAAAGCAACATATAACATAATCTCTGAGATAAACAGGATTCAGGCCTTTTATTCCCCTACACTTATTATACAGCGCTGGATTCGAGGCCATTTAATTAGAAAAAGTCTTGGGTAAATATGCCGCATTTTTATATTCATCTTGATATTTGCTATGCAACGTTTTTATATGCTTATTTTGTTCACTATAAAGTACAAAACAATCATGAAGATATTATTTGGGATTTTTGTTCAGTGGGTTGAGAAACTGGTTTTAAGAGGTTTTCTTCATTGTCAGGCTTTGCAGTACAAAGAAACAGATAACGTCTGGGAAACCATTCATTCCCATGCCTTTGAGGGTAGAAAAGGACCAGGTACAATCCCAGTCTCAGAAAACCATGAAAGAGGACACAGATGACCACCCTGAACAAGTATGTACTATATTTGACTGATGTACACTACCATTCAAAAGTTTGGGCTCATTAACATTTTTAAAATGTTTTATTTGACAATTTATTGGATCAAAAACACAGCAAAACAATAATATTGTGAAAAATTATCACAATTTAAAATAACTTTTGTATATCTTAATATATTTTAATATGTGTGATGGCAAAGCTGAATTTTCAGCATCATTTCTCCAGTCTTCAGTGTCACATGATCCTTCAGAAATCATTCTAATATGCTGATTTGGTGCTTAAGAAACATTTCTTATTATCATTGTTAAAAACAATGCTGCTTTTTTCAGGATTCTTTGATGGATAGAAAGTTTAAGTATTTAATTGAAAAAATCAATCAACACAGAAATTTAAGTTTACACCCAATATTAAGTTAATGTAATGATCAACATTATTTTGTCAACAAAACTCATCTTAAAAAGTTTAATTAAATGAATAAGATTTTTTTTTTTACTTGCAACAATGCATTTGTGGTAACACGTGCATTGAATTATTTTTAGTGTATCTAAATGTAGACTCTTTATTAGTCATGCATTTGTCACTTCTACACAGGTTTTACAGGATGCTGCAAATGTTAAATCAGATGACAATCAACAACACATAAAAGCACCACACAACACCCCTCGTCTGAAATCTGAAGCCCATCTAAACATTTTTGACCAAGGTACAACAGAAGTTTTAGCTTTAGTTAGCTCTCCAAGAAACCGATTTGATTCACTGAATGCTTCTGTTTTGCTTGTCTAGATATCAGTGTGAATGTTGGTCCCTGTAATGAAGAAATTGAAGACGGAACCTTTCATGTTTTGGGACTAAAAGCTTTGGTCCACCAGAGTGAGTCATTGAGTGACATGTTGTGGTCCCATAAAGCTGCAGGACAGGACATCCGTGAGGCCATAAGCCATTTTCACACTCAGTCGCAGTCACCTGCCATTACTCCAGGGCAGCGTCTGATTGGTTGCTGCCATGACAAAATCAGCCTCACCCCCTTCAAAGTCATTGAAAGAGCCCACCAAGCATTTGAGAAAACCAGAATGCAGAGACACCTTGCAGAGAAGGTAACTGAGCGCCACATTGACCGTGAAGTAGCCAAGGGTCATCGAGACATCTTTAGAGAGGCTCGCAGAACAGAAGTGCATCTGCGGCAGGAACGGGAAAGGGTGGATATGGAAAAAACGCTCATTCTACAGAGAGCCAAGCTGGGGCAGGACATCCATCATACGCGTCAGAAACATGCCCAGTTTTTGGAAGAGAAGAGGATGAGGATCCAGGAGCAAGAAATGGTTTGCTGTTTCAGCCAACAGCACAACTCTCTAGCGAGGGCAGTGCTCAGATACAACACATGGAAACGTGGTAACCAGCAATAAATGCATGATTGCTTTTGATTAAACTCTCAGTTTAATATGACATTTACATATTGGTTAGTTAGAACCCTTTGTGTACAGTAGCTTCAAAAGCAGATTTACTGCACTATAGTACAGAATAGTATAATATAATAAAGTACTTACCAGAAGATGTCTGTAAAGATTACATTATAGACATTGGGATCTGCTCCTCTTTTCAAAATCCAAAATATTACATAACAGGAATCCAAAAATAGTCCCAGTAATACACAACCACCCCCGTCCGTCATGCACAAGTATTAAGGAACTAGTATTAAGCCACCAACTTTACATAACAAATAATTCCACATTAACTGGGTCATTATTACACTCTTTAAATAAGCACTTAAGAAAGATTAACAGAACAGATTCAAATCATTGCAGTGCAAAATAAAATATATCTATTATTTTTTGCTATAGTTCTCAACAGTCGTAGTATAACAGGAGGATCTTTAAATGCCAAGGCAAGTTTAGCTTGACAATAAATAGAGATGAGCTACACTAAATTTCTACAAGTAACAGTATTTATTAAAAAAAAGTCCTGTTCAGCGTATCAGCAGTGTGAAATTCAATGCATTGTTCTGGCCTGACATGAAAAGGTAGACTCTAGCATCCGTCACTAACTAGACTGAAAATCTATGTCCCAGGAAGTACCACATATCGACCTTGCCACCTATTTGAAGTTTATTCATTTTATTTTGAGTACTTTGAGTCATTGAGAATGACAACAGTGCAATACGCTAGCTCAGACTTCTGGAAGTGGCATCTGTAGAGAATTTTACATTATTGCACATGACCCTAAATTCTAGCTTAAAGTCTAAAAGGGGAAATATCTAAAAAAGAGAATAATGATCTTTTTAAAAAAAAATTATAATATTAATATTCATCAAGGCTACATAACAAAACAATTCTCTATATATTTAGATATTACATACAAAAAAAGAGACTCCCCTGATAGCCTTTTTCTAAATTCAAAAAGGTAAAAAACTCACTGGGGCCTCCAATAGACCTTCAAAATGTACTAATAATGTACACTTTATGTACTAATATGTACGTTTAAGGTACTAATATGTACCATTTAGAGGTAAATATGGTACAAAGATCTGTATCTTCGGGTACCAGTAACAGTTTTGTGCCTTTATTTTCTGAGAGTGTATGGACAATAAGAGTTTTACGTACCTAAAGTTCATGATCTTTTATACTAAACTCAAATGTGAATATCTGTGTCAACCCTATATATCTTGACCCTAATCTTTTTTTTTTTTTTTTTTTTTTAAATGAAATCAATTTCTGAAGAACATAGAATGTTGAATTCAGCTTCCTCATAGTGTGGAGGTGGGCAGGGAAGCCAGACTCTCTTTATTCTCCTGCAGGAAAGCGCTACATGAGGCAAAGGTGCAGTAGAAACTGGAGGAAAGCCCAGCGATGTCAGTGGAGATATAGGGCAGCACGCCAGGTGTGGCCTGGTTGTAGTAAGAAATCTGAGAGAAATGCATACATAAGCATGTAAGCCAACACACTTAACCTTCAGTACTTTAACACCTACATGACAGCACCAGGGACCACTCTAAGCAGTTTCTTAACATGAGTTATAAACAGTGTTATTGGCTAATGTACATGCACATTATTTAAATTAAAGAGATTGCTACGTTTAAAGCCGTGTTAATTCTTGAACTTCGACTCATTTGCTCATTCAGTATAAGTGTCCATTAGGCTTTCTGTGTATTTATTACCTTAGTGAAAGTGTTTTCCTCTTCCCAGATACTGAACCCAGCACAGAGCACCTCTCCTCTGTTGTAGTCTTCAGTGGGAGGGTACGAAGGCAGGGTCACAGAACGCAAGGCAATCAAATAAGGGTCTCTAAAAGTGACAAAGATGTAATAACGTGTTATTTTGCCCTTTGGAAAGACACCATATAGAGATTTTGTAGGAGTTTAAGGTTTACCCAGAATCACAAGGGCGCCTCCTGGAGGCCAGGAGGATGAAGTCCTGGACTTTCCCTCTTTTAGTCACAGAGGGGGTGACAACACGGTAGATGGTGTCGTCTTCATCTGAGTCGGTTATCACTTCACACTCTCTGTATTAAGGCATATTTATTACGGTCAGTTATAATATCATAATGTGCTCTACGTTAAATCAAGTAATTTGAAACGTGGCTGATAATTTTACTTTATCTGCCAGCCATTGTAGCAAACAACTTGTAAGAAGAAAGTCTAATAAAAAAGTATAGAGTATATAAGAATAAAAAAGTCTGTTAAAAGTAATAGGATTTTTAAAATGCTTTTGAAAAAGTCTCATATGTTCACCAATGTTGCATTTATTTGATAAAAAAATACAGTGAAATATTACAACTATAACTTATAATCTTTTTAATTTTTCAAATGTAATATATTCTTGTGACGGCAAAGCTGAATTTTTTTTTTGCAGCCATTACTCCAGTCATCAATGTCACGTGATCTTTCAAAAAAAAAAAACATTATAATATGCTGATTAGGTGCTCAAGAAACATAAGAAATGTTTCTAATTATTATCAATGTTGAAAACCGTTTTTATATACACTACCGGTCAAAAGTTTGGGATCAGAACGATTTTTTATGTTTTTTACAGTTGTTTCTTATGCTCATCAAGGCTGCATTTATTTGATAAAAAATACAGGAAAAAATTTGATGTAAAATAACGTTTTTCTATTTTAATATACATTACAATCGAATTTATTCCTGTGATGCAAAGCAGCAGCATTACTCCAGTATAAAGTGTCTCATGATCCTTCAGAAATCATTCTAATATGCTAATTTATTATCAGTGCTGTGCTGCTTAATATTTTTTGGGAAACTGTGATACTTTTTTCAGGATTCTTTGATGAATAAAAAGTTAAAAAAAGAAGAGTATTTATTTAAAATAGAAATCGTTTCTAACAATATACACTACAGTTCAAAAGTTTGGGGTCAGTACATTTTTTTGAAATAAATTAAAACTTTTATTCAGCAAGGATGTGTTAAATTGTTAAGAAGTTATAGCAAAGATTTATATTGTTAGAAAAGATTTATATTTTGAATAAATGCAATTTTTTTAAAATACACAACTGTTGCCAACATTGATAATTCTAATAATAAATCAGCATATTAGAATGATTTCTTAAGGATCATGTGACACTTTAGACTGGAGTAATGGCTGATGGAAATTCAGCTTTGCATCACAGAAAAAAATTATATTTTAAAGGATATTTGAAATAGAAACCATTATTTTATATTTTAATAACATTTTCCAAGATTACTGTTTTTTCTGTATTTTTGATCAAATAAATGCAGACTTGATGAGCAGATAATAAAGCAGATAATCTGTCGCTTATAAAATTCAAAAATTATTTAAAATGCATTTGACATACTGGTAGTGGTGGTCCCATGCCTTCCTTCGTCTTAGATCAGACAGTAGCAGAAACACCTGCTCGGCTGCCACGGCCACATGAGTCTCCACCTTAAAGCACAACGTCTGGTTCTCCTCAAGTGTGTATAAACTCACCTGGGCACAATGTTTCAGCTCATAAATTTCTCTCAAGCTTCTACAGCATTTTTGACTCAAGTCACCCATGTAATCTCAAAAGGACAAAATGAGAACTTTAAAATAAAGTTAGCAAAGCTTGTCCACCTTATTTTTCTCTGAGGTTAAGACCCAGTTGTTACGGGCAGCCAACATCTTCAGTGCCGAAACATTATTGTAACTGAGGTACATCTGCCAAGACATGGAATAGTCACATGATCCAACAAAGCATGTTGAGCAAATCCATGAGATTTATAGCTATTAGAACAGGTTAATCTACCTGGTTACTTGGGTCCCAGGGAACCGAGAGAGGAACTTCACTTTGTTTGCAGGATATTATGTACTTCCTGTAAGAGGAGAGCATACTTATGTGATCTAGTGTCCCATGCTGGTCTGCTATGCAGGAATTTTTATAGTTGTAAAGTTAACTTTGAATATGACATACAGCCAGAGCTTATAAATAGGCGTATGATATAAGAATATGACATAACCTGTTATAATAGACAAAATCTTCAGAATCCTACCTGTCAAGGCGGATTTTCTTTCTGGCTATGGCTTCCTGAAAGCGTCTTTTACCATCCTAAAAAGACAGGATGAGAAGATAGATTTTTTTATTGAAATAATAAGATAGTTTTAAAAACTCAAGCACTTCAGTTCCAGCACTCATTTTGTTTCACCCTCTTGAACTCTTCTAATAATCTCCATCAACAAGTTAAACTCTTCCACCATGTGAGGGATTCCAGGAATGTTACAGCGCTCACCACAGGCTCAGGCCGTATCCTTGGCAACGTGCATGGCTTCCTGTCATTGTCCAAGACCTCAAAGGTCATGAAGGCGGTGTTGATGTGTCGCAGGGGCTCTCCACCCTGATAGGCCTCCGCACACACTCCCACCTCCATACTGGAATAGCACACACAAAATAACAGTTGTTCAAATTGTTCAAAGATAAATCAGGCTTGCTTGATTCGTGGTTGTAAGTGATACTGAGCCATAGCTTTTACTGGTTATAATATAGGTATATGCTATATTACTGGTTTTAAATACTTAGTCTACATAGCGTCACTGATCCATAGCTTATATAATACAATAAAATAAATATGATAAATCAATTTTAAATTAAAATATAATAATAAATATATATAACCGTTAAAAAGTTTGGGTTTGGTCTCTTATGCTCACTTATCTATTTGAATATAATTTCAAATGTAATTAATTCTTGTGATGCAAAGCTGAATTTTCAGCCATTACTCAGTGTAACATGATCCTTCAGAAATCATTCTAATATGCTGAATTGGTGCTTAAGATTCAGTTGCTATTATTATCAATGCTGAAACCCGCTTATAATTTTTGTGGAGACTGTGATACATTTTTTGACCCCAAACTTTTGAATGGTAAATATATATACAGCCACAGCCGTCCCAGTGGTCCACAAATTTTTCTTGATACAGATGTACCTTTTCTTGAAAGCATTGTTTACGATTGCCTTCAACACCAGCCTGTCTCCAATGTGGGACGGCCCGCGAAAGTGGAACATGTCTATGCTCCGCAGAGTTGGGTGAGCATTACACAAACGACTAGAAGAAAAAGCATACAGAGCATAATGCACCGAAACTCCAATGATCTTTTTTATCATCATATTTGACTGTAGTAGAAAAGTGACTGTTCACCTGGCAGAGATGGTGGCTACATTCTCCATCCAGGCCATGATTTGTCCACCAAACGTGCTGACCTGGTGATTGGCATGAGGCGGGAGCACCAGCTCAACGCTTTCGACCCGAGTCCGCTCTGCAGGCACCGCATCCTGGTAATCCAGACGCTCACTCACTGACAAACAGATAGAGCACCACTTATCAGAGATACTGCATATTCCAGTCTATTTATTCTACACACTTCAAACCATGTGACCCTTTGTAAGTGAACGGTGAAGGTTTACTGCACATATATGCTTAAATTAGTGTTGGTGGCATGTTAATGAAGAGACACCAAACAAACTGAATGACACCTTTAATCAGAACTCAACTTCTGATTCATGACTCATTTCATGTGGCAAGTGTTCCTGAGACATCTCTTCAAAGTCTTGCAAGGAAACAAACACACCTGGAGAAGATGAGTGAGCAGCGTCTCTGCTCACCTGTCTGAGAGGAGCAGCTGCTGAGAAGATCATTAATTATCTCTGCATGGATCAGTCTCATCCTCCTGCGCTCGGCTGCGAGGCTGTACTCCATCTGCTCTGCCTGTGTGCGTGGAATAACCTGCTTCAGCTGTACCTGTGCAAACCCAAACACTGCATTGATGAATCACAACTCTTAACAAGACGTGGACCAAATGCAAAAACTTGTGCCTAAAATTTTTAAATAAATTTGATTTAGTTTGACGTGATATTTCTTACCTTTCCTGCTTCGGTACGTCGGGCCACAAAGGTGGCAAAAGCGTGACAGACCTTCCACTGTCTGTTGCTGAAGAGATCTTCACAGCTCACCAAAATCCCAACCTGAGACAAAGACCTACATCATCAGTCATTCTTCATTTAGAAGAAGTTTTATCCAAAGTGGCTTACAAATGAGAAACATTGCAAGCAATTTATCATAAGGGTCAACAATATTTGCAGTACACAATGCCAAGTTTCCAGTATACCCTTATGCAAAGAGAATGTTTCCTTGTATATTAAGTCAATAAGTTAAATGATTTAATGTATAAAAATAATACATTATGTTTAATGTATTAAAATATATTGAATAATTGCCGCTTTTCATATATTGAAAAATATGTGAAAATTTACTTTTATATCGCAATGTATATACTTTGAAATTCAACAATAAGCATGAAAATATAAACACTAGTTCCCATTCAGTCAGTCACGTTCAACGTTACGTCAGTGACTGACGAATTGGGATCTCGCCCGAGAGCCCAATCACCTTCGAGTGTTAACTAAACA